GCCTTTTTTTTTTCCCCCCTCTGGTGAACTCCTATTCATCCTTCACAGCCCAGTTCCAAAATCCCATGGTGTTCTGATCAGCTTTGCCTCTTACTAGTAGGCAGAACTCTAACTCCTCAAATTGGGTTCCCCCAGCTCTTCCTCTGCCCCACCCCTGGCTCCAGAGGCTGGAAGTGTCTGGACTGGTTCTGTTTTCTTGAATAGTTAGGGGCTCCTGGGGGCCCAGGCCCAGAGCCGAGGTGTCTTAGCACAGAGGCATGTTTCTTGGAAAGTCAGAAAGAAAATCCTTGCAGCTAAGTCCCCTTACACCAGCCTGGCTCCTGTGTGAGTGAGAGCACGGAGGCAAGTCACCCAAGGTGGGCAGAGGTCCGGGGTGATGGCTGCATGCATGTGTGTGCACGTGTGAGCACAAGGTATGTGTGTGCATGCATGTCTGTCCAGCTTAGCCTGTTTTGTGTTTCGTGCATGTGCAGGTATAGAGGTCAGGCAGGGATCTCAAGGGGGCATTCTGCCAGGTGTCTGGCTAGGAATTCCTTCCTATGTCTGAGTGGGATTTCTGTTAAGACATATCCTTCACCTGTCCTTTTACCTGCTCACCTGCCCATGAATTCTCCAAATCATCTTTCCACCCATCCACTCACCTGTGCATCCATCCTCCCACCCAAGCGCTTCTACATCCACCCACTGCCCACCATCTGCCCAACTTATGTTCTCATGGTTCTCCACGTACCCTTCAACAGTGCTCTATCCACCATCCACCCACCATCCACCTGCCCATCCACCCACCATCCACTGATCCATCCACCCACCATCCACTCACCCATCCAATCACCCACTGGCCACTACCCACCCACCCATCCACCAGCTCATCTTCTCATGGCTCTCCACGCACCCTTCAACCATCCTTCATCCACCACCCACCCACCATCCTATCCACCTGCCCATCCACCCACCCAACCACCTATCTACCTCAACTATCCACCCACCCATCCACCTATGCACCCACCCATACAGCCAACACCCACCTACCATCTACCCACCCAACCATCCTTCATCCACCACCCTCTGACCCATCTACTTACCACACATCCATCCAAAACGCACCCACCCATCCATCCACTTGTTCATCCACCCTCCCATCCATCTACTGCCCATCCTTTCATTCACCCCTTCAATTTACCCCATTCAATCAATGTATCCATTCACTCACCACCCACTCCACCCACCCTTTTTCTTTACTCCTGTCTAACGGGCTCAATCACACCCAGAGCAGGGTGTAACTGACACCCAAGAGAGAAGTCCGCAGGTTGCCTGGGCAGGAGGGAATCCGCAGGCTTGGGGGAGGGGGAAGTACCCTCATCTAGGGACCGCTTCCTGGAAGAGGTGATGATATATGAACAGGGCCTGATGGCTGGGCAGGATATTGAGCTGCAGCAGCAGAAAAAGAGGGTACGTACCCTAGACAGCGCAAAGGCTGGGAAGTGGGAGGTGCACGCATGAATGAGTGTGTGTGTGGGTGTCAGCGTGCCTCAGCATAGCTGGGACACACACCAGCCTTTCCTTTCTCCCACGTGCCAGGGATCAGGGGCAAGGAGCCTGAGGCCCTAAGGGGAGCCTCCATCCCAGGCCTCCCTTAACTCCTTCCCCTCCTACCTCCTGCAGCTCCAGTGACTCCAGCACCAGGCCACTGTGTCCACTGCCAGCTCTGGTTACCTGCTCCCAGCTGGGCCACCAGCTCGCACCAGCAGCTCCCAGCTCGCAGCTCTGACACCTGATCAGCTCTGAGCGGGCAGCTGCCCCAGGGGGCCGGGGATGAGCAGAGGGAGGAGACAGGCTGGCAGCAGGGCTGTCTGTTGGCCAAGGGGCTCTGGTGGGAAGACACCGATGTTCTTCCCGACCACGGCTGGACGGATTTCAGTTTCTGGAATGAGCCACCCTTTTCCTCTCTTCTCAGCCTTTGTACTTGCGGTCCCTATGCCAGGAGCCCTCTTTCTGTACCTCCTGTCACCCCCAACTGGCTGATTCTCCCCATCTCAATCGTACTCACTGTTCAGATCTTTGCTGCAACATCCCCTCCTCCAGGAAGCCTTCCTGCTTGCCCCCAGGCTGGGTCAGGTGCCTCCTCTGAGCTCCTTCATTGCCCGGTGCCCTCATTACAACCCACTCACACTAAGTCACCATTGCCCGGTCACAGGGTGCTGCCTGTGTTCTCCAGCGTCTCCCCAGTAAACAGTAGGTGCTCGATACGTTTCTTAAATGAGTCCTCAAGGCCTCCAGCCCCGGTGATTGTGAGCAGTTTCTCCAGCCTCTTGGTGAAGTCAGGACCTGTCCTGCTGAGTGATAATCATCCACCTGGATAACGTTCAGATAACTTAAGAGTGGCGTCCGTAACCCTCCCTAGTGAGGCCCCAAATTGCCACCCCCTGAGGCCCCCGCACACATGCACAGGTACCCTGCATTTGTAAATTTAGAAACTTATGAAATGTGCAGGGGAAAAAACCTTGGACTCGAAGCATAAGTCCTGGGTCCCTTCTCTCAGGCCCTCTCCTGTGAGGGATGGGGTGCGGGGAAGGGGCGCATCAGTTTACTCATTTGTAAAAAGGGGAAAGAGGGAACCGATCGCTTGCGCCCCTCATTTTAGAGGTGACTAGAGAACTCGCACGTGGGCAGTCCCCTAGTTTCCAGCCCGGGTCACTGGACAGCTCTATTCTCGCCACCATCCACATCCCCAGCACAGTAGGAAGCTGGCCGCTCTTTGCCAGCAATTAATATGGCGACTGAGGCGTTAGCGCGAGCCGCATGCGCCTTGGGTAGAAGAGGCCGGGTACAGAGGATGAGAAGGCGACTCCTCCTTCTTCCTCGTCCCACCCCGTTTCCGGCGGAAGCGGCCGCAACAAGGGAAACTTTATTGTTCCCGTTGGGGCCTGGAGGATGTCGGTGAATTATGCGGCGGGGCTGTCGCCGTACGCGGACAAGGGCAAGTGCGGTCTCCCCGAGGTGAGCGCGGCCGGGTGTCCCGACGGCCGTCGTCAGGGCCGTGGGCTGGGCGGGGCCGGCTGGCAGCGGGCATTCTGGGAGTATCAGGAGACACTGAAGCTAGACAATGGGAGGGACTTCCCAGTGAGGAGGGGGCGGGAAGTGACGCCCCAGCGCGCCTGGGGACGCGACCACGCCCAGCTCCGGATCGGTCAGGCTGGGACTGAGGCTAGGACCCAGGTCGGGAAGTCCTGAAGTTCTGATGGGGCACCAGGGGCTGTAGTTCCAGGCGGAGGGCACCACCGGGGCAAAGGCGCGGGGGTGGGAATAAACAAACTTGGAGAACAGATTAGACCAGAGAGGTTACCAAAACCAGCCCAAGATGGGCCTCAAGTGCCAAGCTGGGGAGCTGACACCATCCTGAGGGTGATGAGGAAGGGTTTTGAGCTGGGGAGGAACCTGGAGGATGTAAGTCAGAAAGACCCCTCCAGCCACGCTGAGAGGAAGTCCCCACCATACACTGAGACCTTGGCGGGGTAACTTCCTTTTGGGTCTCCTCTCCTCTTCTGTAAACGGGGGAGAAGATTGCCCTCACCCCACAAAGGCTAGTGCGTCCCTTCCGAGTCAGGCATTAGTGAGCTCCCAGGTGGTGTGAAGCCCCACTCCTCTCCTGCCTGGTTTCCATTTTATTCCACAAACATTTATTAAGCACCTACCGTGTGCACCAGACACTTTCTCCGCCCTGGGGCCACATCGGAAGGTGAGAGGCCTCGAAATATGGCGTGGTTAGTTTGTATGGGCTGGGTAATTTCATAGGCTAGTGAGTGGGAGAATTGTTCCAACTATTTCGGGGAAGGGGTGGGGATTTCCAGGAATTGGGCCACCGCCCACTTTTTGGCCATTTATGGTTAGCCTTTGAACTGTCCTGGCACCTGTGGATGTTAATACATTTAGTATATGCTGAGGTATTACAATGAGTGTATAATGAGGCTCCAGGTATACTGGAAGTCGAATCTTCCGCCATCTTGGACCTTTGACCAGTTTTTGTTATGTCCTACGGCTGTGTCATTCTTTTTTTTTTTTTTAATAGATTTATTTTATTTATTTATTTATTTTTGGCTGCGTTGGGTCTTCGTTGCTGCGCGCGGGCTTTCTCTAGTTGCGGCGAGCGGGAGCCACTCTTCGTTGTGGTGCGAGGGCTTCTCATTGCGGTGGCTTCCCCTGTTGCGGAGCACGGGCTCTAGGCGTGCGGGCTTCAGTAGTTGTGGCACACGGGTTCAGTAGTTGTGGCTCACCGGCTCTAGAGCGCAGGCTCAGCAGTTGTGGCACGCGGGCTTAGTTGCTCCGCGGCATGTGGGATCTTGCCGGGCCAGGGCTCGAACCCATGTCCCCTGCATTGGCAGGCGGATTCTTAACCACTGCGCCACCAGGGAAGCCCTGTGTCATTCTTTTAAAGGTTGTGCCCTGCCCCCTTCCCTCCTGTTTCGCTCCCTTCCACTCTCTCCCACCCAACAGGTCTTTGACCCCCCTGAGGAGTTGGAGCGGAAGGTATGGGAGCTGGCACAGCTGGTCTGGCAGTCCTCCAACGTGGTGTTCCACACGGGCGCGGGCATCAGCACAGCCTCAGGCATCCCCGACTTCAGGTCCGTGCGCATGGAGGGAAGTCAAGGCAGGGCTTCCCTGTGAGCTCACAGATGTCTGGCCACCGGAACCCCTCCTGCCGCCTTCCCTCCCGCTGAGTCTGGGGTGATCTGTCAGTTCCCTGGGGTGTTGGGGATGGGAAAGACCCTTCCTTTGGAGAATGTCCCTTTATATCACACCCAACATTCCATTCCACCGGCCAGAACTTGGTCACCTGACTACACCTAGTTGCAAGTGATGCTGGGAAATGTAGTCTTTCGTCTAGGCTCACTGCAAGGCTAAGTAGTGGGGTTCTATTATTACCAGAGAAAAAGGGGAGAATTGATATCAAGGACAATTAGCTCCATACTTACTTACAAATATTTTTCTGTCAGACCTCTGGTGGGACAAGTGGCTTAACCACCTGGACCTCAGTTTCCTCACCTTCAAGTGAGGGTGTGAGGCCAGATAATGTCTAACGTTAGGCAGCCTGTGTTAGACAAGAGTTTCATTGATGAAAAGCAGGGGTCTCTAACTGGTGGCCTCCAAGTGGCCCCTGTAGGTGCTGAGTTTGCAAGCCTACCCCGTAGGACAGGCCTATCACAATTGTGCTCTCTTTCTAAGGCCTCTCAGGCCCACGGAGCAGACTCTTACAGCGGAAGAGCAGATTCCTCGTTCCTGGAGGAATGTTAGAATTTTAAGGTGTGAATCTCACCCCCCTTCCATAACCTGCCATGGCTCCCCATTGCCACACAGGAGAGTTCTCAGCACTTCAGGCTGGAAATCAAAGCTGTCCCCAACCTAGCCCTGGATCAGCTCTCCAACCTCAGCCCCTGCAGCCCCTGCAATCCCCAGACCACTCACAGGCTGTTGCCAGCCCCCTGGCCTTTGTTTACCTCTTCTGTCTGAGCTGCCCGGCCCTTTCCTGTCTGTTCAAGAGACAGCTCAGCCTACTCCAGGAAGCCTTCCCACAGTTCCACAAAGAGCCCTTACCGCTTCTACTGGGCCAGCCCAGCCTCAGGTTCCTCCCTCTGCCCCAGCCCTACAGAGCTGGAGAGTTTGTGTCCACCTATGACTCTCCCCACAAGATGGAGGACTCCTTGAGGGTAGGGCCTGGGTCCCCTAGGGCCCCAGCATCACCCAGCGCAGGGCCAGGCTCGGTGCAGCAGCGGTAAGTGTTGGTGGGATTGAATAGTTAATTTCTGCCCTTGTGTACTACGTTCTCCCTCCTTCCTCCCCCACCCCCTCCTTTGACTGTGTCACTTCGTCTGTCTCTGACTCTTTCTCTGCCTCCGTTTCTCTGTCTCCTTTTCCGTCCCATCTTCCTGATCCCTAAGCTCTCTCTGTCTCTCCCACCTGCCACCTCAGGGGCCCCCATGGCGTCTGGACGATGGAGGAGCAGGGCCTGGCCCCCAAGTTCGACACCACCTTCGAGAACGCGCGGCCCACGAAGACTCACATGGCACTGGTGCAGCTGGAGCGCGTGGGCCTCCTGCGCTTCCTGGTCAGCCAGAACGTGGACGGGCTGCACGTGCGCTCTGGCTTCCCCAGGTGCACCCCGCGTCCAGCCCCGCTCAGCCTTGGGCAGGCTGCCCCTCTCTCCGAGCCTCAGTTTCCTCATCTGGAAAATGGGTGTTGATGGCAGCCCCTCCCTCTCAAGGCCACTGTGGCGATTCAGCCAGGAGAGGTGCTTGGTGCTCAGCTGCCAGTGTCAGTGTCTGCTAGGCGGGCACGTCTGGAGAATCGAGATCCCCTCTTTCTGGTCCTGGGGGGTGGATTCCAGCCCTGAGGCCTCTGGATCCTCTCCACTAAGCCTCTTCCTTCTCCTCCCACAGGGACAAGCTGGCAGAGCTTCACGGAAACATGTTTGTAGAAGAATGTGTCAAGTGTAAGATGTGAGTGCCACGGAGGGTAGGGGCGGGGGCCCAAGGTGTGGATGACCCAGGTCGGGCTCTGCAGAAGGGCCTTGTGAGTTGAACCTGATGTTTCCAGAGACGAGGGTGTGACCCTCCCAGGGTGGGACTTGGGGGTGTATCTTCCTCCCGGTAGGTGTATTCATTTCCTGCAGCTGCTGTTACAAACTGCCACAACCTGAGTAACTTAAAACAACGGAAACTGATAGTCTTATGGGTCTGAAAGCTCGAAGTCCACAATCAAGGTGTTGGCAGGGCCGTGCTCTGCCTGAACCCTGTCAGGGAGGATCCTTCCTGCCTCTTCTGGCTCCTCGTGGCTCCTCGTGGTTTCCGACCATCCTTGGCTGTAGACTTATCACTCCGACCTCTGAATCTTTTATCAACGTTTCCGTGTCCCTGTGTGTCTGTGTCCCCTCCTCTTTTTTTTTTTTTTTTTTTTTTAATATTCACTTATGGCTTTAGTTGTGGCACGCAGGAGCTTCGTTGTGGCACGCGGGATCTTTTTAGTTGCCACATGCAAGCTCTTAGTTGCAGCATGCGGGATTTAGTTCCCCGACCAGGGATCGAACCCGGGCCCCCTGCATCGGGAGCGCAGAGTCTTACCCACTGGACCACCAGGGAAGTCCCTGTGTCCCCTCTTCTTATAAGGACATCAGTCACGTGGGTTAGGGGCCACCCTACACAAATGTGACCTCATCTGAACCCAGCCAGTACATCTGCAACAGCCCTACTTCCAAATAAGGTCTTATTCCAAAATACTTGGGAGCCGCCACTCAGCCCATAACAGGGTGTGACGGGGCATTCTTCCGGCTCTGGAAAGGCTGAGCCTTCCTGGAACAGGAGGGCTCTGGGCGTGTCTCCCTCTGCTGGGCAAGCAGCCTTATGGGTGTGAGTAACTCAGGCGTGGCGGGTGCGTGTGGCTCCCCTGCGGGTGGAATCTCTCAAGACCAGAGCACAGATGGGGCCCCAACTTTAAAAACAAATTTTTTTTCTCTCTAAATTTATTTTGAAAAACTTCAATCTGGTGGAAAACTCACAAGAACCATACAATGAACTCATACTTGACCTAGACCGGGGATCCCCAACTTTTTCCTGTACAGGGCCATATGGTAAATATCTTCAGCTTTGTGGGCCAGACTGTCTCTGTCGTGACTATGAGCTCTGTAGCGTGAAAGCTGCTATAGACAGCACTTAAAGGAATGGGCATGGCCGTGTGCCAATAAAACTTTA